TCATCTTTCATGATATCAGGGAAGTTTTCTGCCAACAAATCTTCAACAATTCTGTCTATATTTTGTGTTATTCCCCCCATTATCGTACTCCAGTCACTCGTAGGTTATTCCTCTTGATAAAGTCCCGTATGATTCTTAGAGTTTTTTCATTTTTTTAAATCCTTTTATCTGATTTTTCCTCAAATAAGTTGGTGTCAAGTGCTTTATCATCAATCTCACTAATTCTGACTTCCATTGCTTCAATTCTGTTCCTATGACTTTCTATTGAGTTGTCTTAATTCTGAAATTTTATTGTTAATCTTCTGGATTTCTGATTGCTTTCTCTCTGTGGATTCTTGCAGCCTGTTAAATTTGTCATTATGCTCTTCTCTAATCTTTTTAATTTCCTCTATTGCATGTTCCGCATTTTGCTTAATTTCCTTCCTAATTTCTTGAAGAGTTCTGTATATTAATCTTTTGTATTCTGCCTCCGGTAATTCCAAGAAATTTTCCTACTCTGGAAAATTTCTTGATTCTTTTTTTTGGGAGCTTGCTGAAGCCACCATGGATTGCCTCTTCATGTGATTTGATATTGACTGTTGTCTCCGAACCATAATAAGTTATTATATTTATTTATTTTATGTTTGCTTACTGTGTCCTAGCTTCTTGTTTTATTTTGATATGCCCAAATAGGCTGCTCATATGAGCTAGTTTGATTATTGGCACCTCTGAAGCTCTAATGTCCTATCACCAGGTAGTTAGATCTGTTACTAGGTATGTGAGCTCAGGAGTCTGCCCACTCCTCCTGTATGGATTCAGCTCAGGTGCCGAGGTAGATAGCCACTAAGTGTGTGGTGTAGGCTCTCACTTACAATCCTAGACAGGCATGGGTGATTGTTGTAGGCACCTGCTGGCTGCAGCAGGGGGACACACTCTGAGCGAGGCAGGGGGCTGATGTCCACCCCCGAGTGTCCAGGAGGAAGGCATGTCCCTGTTCCGTAGAGCGCATAGGTGGGTGTGTTTTGCAGCCAGACTGTGAGCACCTAATGCTGTTGGCTGTAAGGACTGGGGGGCACCACTTATTCATGGGCCCCTGTCGTAGGTGGCTAGGTGGAGCCACCAGTCCTCAGGCCCCTGATGTGGGTAGGTGAAGACCCTGCTAAATGGGCAGAGCAGTGTCAAATGTCAAGAAGCTGCCACTCCACAGCTGAAACAGTTGAAGTTAGAGTTCCGGTATATACCTTGTTGTACTGCAGTAATGAGGCCCTGTGCTGGTGAGAACGGCCCACACAAGTCTATGAGGGGGAAAGGCACTCAAAGTTCATGGATCCCTTATGCCTGTGCCTAGGCAAAGAAGCTGTGCCTACCCTGGGTTCCTGGCTTAGGGGAGCTGGCAGTTATTTTTTCCCGTTTGTTAATTTGTTCACTCTCCAAGGCAGGGAGAATGGCTCCGGGCGTGTGACAGATCCTGCTTCTGGCCTAGGGGACTTGGCAGTAGCTGAAGCTGGTCCAGGACCCAGTGTAGAGCAGGGAGCGGGGAGGTAAATGGGAGAGAGGTTTTTCCCTAAGGGGGTTGTTTTTTATCCGCACGGTAAGCCGTACGCAAGTACTCATCTTTCGCCGATGAGGGCTGCTTCTCACTGGTTCTGGGTAGCCGAGTAGACTCTCTGGCGCTGACTCTCCCGGTGCAGAAAACGTACCTCCCAAGCACTGCTGCTTGCCTGCCTCACCACTCACCCATGAGCTTCTCAGGCTTGAAGGGCTCAGGCTCTCGCCGGGTCAGGTCTGGCAACTCCTCGCTGCTTCCAAACCGTCTCTCCCTCCCCCTGCCACTCAGTCCGGTTCCTCAACTCTGCCTTTGATGTTCAGGGCTCCCAGATTGCCATATATAATCAAATCACTTGTTTTTTCGGGTCTTTTTTGTAAGAGGGTCCACCAGAAGCGTCTGACTACTCCACCATCTTGGCCCTGCCTCTATACAGACATTTGTTTTTATTATCACCATACTTTTTTGTATGCTTGAATTATTTCATTTACAAGGGATCTGGGGGGGGGAGGGTGAATTTGAAAGCCCCCTTGAGACATTGCTACTGCTGTGGCTGCCGTACTATACATTTCAGCTAAGAACCCAGTACACTCACCAAATCTCCCATACCTGAAAGGCAGATTTTCTGTCATGTTCGTTATATTGAGTCCTGGCAGCCAACAGGTTTATGAAACTAATGGAAGTGATTTTATTCCCTCTAACAATAAATATGCTTACTTGACAATTTTCTTAGTCTCAGTTCATCCAGAGCTAATTTCTGAAGTTGCAGTGGTGCCTGGTGCCATGGTAACCACAGTGGGAGGCTTGAGGCTTCCCTTTTCCAGTACTGTAAAAATGGGAGCAAGGAGAGGAAATACTTTTTCAATTCCTCTAAAATGACTTCAGAATTATGGCTCTCTTAATGGCCACTCTATGATCTTGGACATTAAAGAGAATTCCCAAAATCACTTCTGAAAATGTCAGAAGTGTTTTTGATAGAGGAAGTCTAGAAACTAATATTCTTTAAAGGCTGGGTTGGTCTTGCAGTTCACCAGCTTTAATTGCTTAACATTTGGTAAGCTGACTATTCATTGGCCTCATTCTCCCAAACAGGAAAGCTCATCTCCAGGCTTGTTTTGGGAAGTGTAAACAGAGGAAGTATATTTATCAACTATACTAGAGTCATGTTTTCATACAGCTACTTCTTTAGGCTGTTATAACTCTTAGTCTCTTAATCATTTTAGAGAAGTTCCCAAGTGTATTTTCATCCTTGATAATTGTATGCCAGGAGAATGAATGCAGCTCTGTGCCCTTGTCCTCTAAATATGAAACATTCCCTTTGTCTAGTCTTAGGAGAAGAGTCTAAACTCTAACTGAGTTAAAAGTTTTTTCTATAGACAGACCATAAATTAGACTGTGGGTCTGGCAGAGGTTGGGTTAGGTTATCAGGATGTAGTAGTTAGCATGGAATTAAACAAAGAACTCTTCAATACCTTGAACATAATAAGAGCTTGATATTAGTTGAATTCTTTAATGTTTGAACTCAGTTGGTGCTCAGGACATGGACTACAGTCCACTGAATTATTTGTGAGATTAATATACATTTCCTTAGCAAACATAGATTGTCTGCTGTGACTGTAAGGCATAATAATGCTATTATAAAGTGTTAGCACTGAAAGGGACCAGTGTGCTCCTAAGCCAAGCCTTGTATTATAATCTGGGGCTTGAAGCCCAGAGAAGGGTAGTGTCTAGTTGAGGTGACTAGTCCACATATTTTGAAGCGCCACATGGACTAGATGTCAATGGCTTGCCGTTGCTCAGATAAACCAAGCAGGGCTTCTGGGTATGGTTGTGTAGGTTCTTGTCGCTCACATTGCAGTCATCTTAAATTTGTGTGTTTTTATATTTATTATAACAATTTTCCAGCAGATGGCAGTCGAGTATCTCAAGGAAGAGGCACCTTTTGCTTCTTCACACAGGAGCCCTGGTGCTAAGTCACTGGATCCGGCGAGAAGAAAGTGAAAAGGATGAGAAAGTTAATGGAGCAGGATGAAGAAGGAAGCAGACTTAGGACCCTGATTAACTGAAGAAGGTGGCAGGGAAATAAAGTATAAGAGATACTGAAGAAAGAGCAAAGGAAATAATTTCCCTTTTATTTATTTACGCAAATAAAATATCTTTCCCATAGTAGTATCTTCTGTGAATGTTTTAGGTATTGGTTCCAGCTTTTGAATTTTGATACACTGGCATGTTTCTCAGAACTGTCTGCAGTGGATTTAAATCACCCAAGGTCAATTTCAGTGATGTAATATCTCAGTTGCAGTTACAAAGTACAGTAGTGAGAAAATTCCAGATGTGATAAATGTTGCTGCCACATTGGTCACAAGGTCCACTCCCAGGACTGTTTTCTGTGAAATGAAGAATTGAAAGGAAATGGCTGTTTGCCTGTTAGTTATTAGTAACAAGAAATCAAAGTATTATGCTTTCAGTTCTCTAAAAATTTTCCCCTCAGAAATCATCCTTTCCTCATGACACAATGGCCAGAGCCCAGACTTGGAGTCAGGAGCCCCAGGTCTAAATTCTAACTCAGCTACCTGCTTGTTTGTGATCTGGGTCAAGTCACTCAACTTCTGAGTTCCATTTGCATCCATAAAATAGAGAATGGTATCCATCTCACTGGATTATTTTGAGAATTAAATGAAGGAATAATTTGAAACTGCTTTGTAAGCTGTAAAGTGCAAGAGACATGGAAGAAGGAGGTGGTATTCAGCGCTCTTGCACTGCCTAGGCTCCTTAGCCTCCCGTTTATAGAAATTCCCTCACACAAAGATCTTACTGACTTCACCCTTAGCCTGAAGGTTAAAATAAGAACTTAGAAAGTGCAATGCCTAGAAAGTCAGTAGTAATAGTTATAGTTTTAATGACACAATTTTCACTTTCTTTGGGCAGGGGGCCTACTGGATCTCTAGCTCCCACACCTACTCCTACCTAGCAAATCACAAAGGCTGCCACTTAGTTGGTCTAAGCACATGCAGGTGAACCTAGCAGCAGCCCATTTCTTTGGTATTGAATGTCCTAATAGGAAATATCTTTTTCTCATCAGGTAAAGAGAGCTGCTTTGAGAGAATCGTGTCAAGATTTGGAAAGAAAGTCACATATGTAGTGATTGGAGATGGACGAGATGAAGAAATTGCAGCCAAACAGGTAACTATGGTAAAGAAAATAGCTTGTGTAGGAGTGCATTAAGCAAGTAGAAAAATACTAAAACTCAGAAGTCTTAGCCATCTACTCTGTGGTGTTTTCCCTTTCTCTTCTTCATCTTCCATTTTTCCTTAAAGAAAGAGAAAAAGGGTCACTTTTCCCCCAAATGGAGTTTTCCCTCTAAGTTGTTAGATCTTCCCCTTGCCCTGCCACTCAAAAATCTTAAAATCTTCAAGCCCTGCCACAGGGACCCCCATCATTAAACCTGATGTGGGCCCTACCTTCCATCTTCATCTTAGAGAGCAATACCTTTTCAAGAGCATCATGCAAAGAGCATTTGCAAAAAGGCAAATCATTCTGATTCTCAAAACAACAAAATCAGTTGGGAGTTGCTTCTACAGAAGGTCCTTCCTGCCTGTGAGCCCTGGAAAGATTGTTCTGACTTCAGTTAAGCCCATCACTGTGCAGCCCCCAACTCTAGGTCTACCCGTATTGATATAGGAAACAGTAGATGATAGAGTCTTTCCTATGGAATTTAGAATCAGGTGGGTTCAAATCCCATCTCAGCCATTTTATTAGCGGTGTGACTTGGGACAGTTTATCCTTTTTCAATTTCTCCTCATGTTAAATGGGTTTACAGAAATTCTTTCCCTCCCTGCCTCAGTGTTTTCTTCCAGTAACTGTTCCTTAGACTTGGAGGCAGTGAGTTAGCAGGAGGACCAGCTGATTTTTTTCATCCAGTTAACTTAGAAGCCTTTAGCAACTATTAATGAACTGTGAGATTGATAATCAGTTGGCATTAGTACCTCATTCTATTTTCATTTCTACTTTATGTAGCAATTCAAGGACCTTCATGGTTTGGTTTGGTTTGGTTTTTGTTTTTAATATATGTTATCTCTGGAGCTTTGATTCTACAGTGCTTCTCGGCCTGAAGAAGAAAAGAAGAGAGAAAGAACCAACTCATGTCATTTGCAGTTTGTGTCTCTAGGCCAGTGCCTGTAATCATCTACAGTAGAGTATACCCATTGGGAAATGCCTTAGAGCTTTATCCAGTTCAGCCTCCACCCTGCAAGGGATCTTTTCTGCAGCCTCCCTGACAGAAGCCTTTTTAGTCCTTGTTGAGGACACTGCTTCCCAGATAGCCTGTTCAACTGTGGGGTCATTCCAGCTGTTAGGACATTCCCCCTTACATTGAACTACGATTTATCTCTGCAACTTTCACATACTGGTACTAGTCTGACACTGCTGAGCAAGATATAACAAGTCTGCTACTTCTCCTGTATGTTAATAGCCTTTTAAATATTATGTGTGAGCAGCTGGCTTGAAAACAACACGGAGCTACATGCTAAAAGAACTTTGTTCTAAGACCTCAGTATTCTGGATAACTTAGAACCATTTTGCACAAGGTGGTCAGTAAAGTTAATCTCCTTCAGCTTCACAGAACGTGGTTTCTAACACTTGCATTTAGCAAAGCCCTTATTAAAAGTGTGGCTTCCAGAATGGAACACAGTACTCATAGTATATTATTTCCTAGATCTATATGTTTTACATGTTGGTCATGGACAAGACACCTTATAGCTCTGGAATTTATAGGAAATGAACATCTATAAGAAAATGTAATATATTAATGCTAATTTCTTATCCAGGTGATGTTATTTGATCCTGAACATCTTATATAGTAGCTAGAACATCTGTTTCTCATAAAAAAGTATAGCGAGAGCTCAGTTACCACTGAAACCCAATAAAAATTTCTCACTTTTATGAGACTACAGCATCCTATAGTATACAGAGCCCTTAAACATATAACTTATTTGATCCTATGACAGCCTTATGAGAGGTGGGCAAGTACCTTGGGGAGAGGTCCATGCAGGAGGGTACAGGTAAATATAAGTCCCCAAAAGAAATCGGGATAACCAGCTACCCTCTCTCTCTTCCAGCACAACATGCCTTTCTGGAGGATCACAAACCATGGAGACCTAGTGTCCCTCCACCAGGCTCTGGAGCTTGATTTTCTTTAAGAACTGGAACAAGGAACCTTCCTCATGAGCTCCTTTTCACTCCTGAAGGGAGCTAGAGACCGGAGCCAATTGGGAACACTCTCTCTCTTTTCTCTCCGTGGAATGCTGGCGAGAACACAATCAGAAATGGCTGCAGCAAGGGATGGTGCTTGTTTTTGCTAAGATTGGCTGCAGCCCTGTGTTCATCCTTGGTCAGAAACAGGAGACAGTTGGATGAAGAGAACAGTAGACTCGCCACAGCTATAGTGCTTTTAATTCTTCTGGTTTTTGTTTTGTTTTGTTTCAAAAAATGAAGAAAAGGAAATTCTTGGGGCAGTTGCACTCTTAGTCCGTGACCAGATTGAGAACTGCTTTTAATTTGTGGTGATAAGGTAAATGCAGCAGAGTTTTATAATAACATCTCTTGCAGTCTTTGTAAACTCCTTAGCTGTAGAACTTATTCCCGGTGAATGTATATGTTATTTTTATAGGTAAGGGCCTGGTCTCTGAAGCAGGTTTTTCCTCCCTTTCTTTTTCTGGCCAGAAAGGGTTGTATAAAGTTTCCTTGGAAAATAGTAACTGAAATATCTAAAATACCTCTCTGTGACAGTAGCGCCTCTTTAGCTCCTCCAATGGTCTGCTTTCTAGGATGGTTCCCTTCCCGTTCTTCCATCTCCTAGTTTGCTGAACCGTGGGGCACTGGATACTGATTAACTTTAGATTTTGGCATTTCCCATCCTCAGGACCTTAGTTCCTTTTCCAGTCTCTCTTCCCCTTTGACCCTAGAAACTTCTCTTAGACAGTAAATTCTAAGCCTTCGGTTTGGCTCTTTTATTCAAAAGCTATGTCCAGGAGGCTTAGGCTCCAGACTGGAGAGAGAAGGCTAAGACTCTTCATGCATTTCAACTTGTGAAGAAAATCCCCTTTGGCTTTTGAGACAGGAGGAGTCCACCTTTTCCTCCTGCAGAGAAGCAGCCTTCCCCAACAGATGCTCATCCCTACAGCATTCTCTTCATCCGTAGTCATCAAATGCTAGGCTCTTGCCTCATTCTTGCCCTCTGCACCTCAGAACCACCTCCATGCAACTCTGGTCAATTCTTGGACATTGGATCCAAGGAGTCAAGTTTAAGACCAAGCTCGTAACTACATTTTGGCCAGAACTACCGTATATTTGACTTATTTTGAAGCCCTTAAGCTTCATAAAGATATTCCAGGTATGTATTTACCCAGATCTCTGCCTGAAACTAATGAGCAGATTGTTGTGATCAAAACTCAGTTTTCCCATGGAACACCCTTCCCACCTCTCAATCCCATTCTAAAATGGGAAACCAGAAGAACAGAAAGACTTTCTTGATTTTAAATAACAGAGTTAGACCCCCTTCTCCATGCCTGAAAACTTAATCCTGGGCCAGATGCAGGAGCAGCTCTCAGCCTGACCCCTGGGAGAGATGGTGGATGTCCAGGCACTAGCCCCAGCCTCCAGCCCAACTGTGGTTTTGGATGCTTCATCCCTCCATGACCAACCTAGCTATCTGCTCAAGCAGGATAAACTTCCCTAGAGCTGAGGAAGTTCAGCCTCTCCAGGCTATACAGAGAGAGGTGACTAGATAAGCACCTCAGAGAGATGCAGTCTGTGTCCTTGGTGGGAGGCATCCTTGACCGACTCAGCTGAAATTCCTTGTCCCCAGAGACTCTGCATATCCACTTCCAGAGATGTTAACAGCACAAAGAGGCCAGACTCCTTCCAATGCCAGGTCACCTGGACAGCAGCAAAGAGACTGGTATACACATTCCTTCAGAACTGACTGAGAAAATGCTTCATGGCTCACACTTTTAGCGGAGAGGCACTGGAGTCAGTGCTCCATTACTTCACTGCCTCTTTAACCTTGTTTCCATGTGAGCATGGGGAACAAGATGTAGTCTGAGGCAGACCTTCCCTTGGTTGTATGCAGCGTAGTTGCTCAGATGTTGATCTGCCTTGCTTGATGGTTGATCTCAGAAAGCTCTAAGATGGATTTTTACTTCAGACCCCAAACCATCCCTCTACTGGCACTATAGCTGTTGATTTCTTGCCCTGGATAGATGCCACTTGTTGGTGCTGTGCTCTAGGTTTGTGAGGCTGTGGAGTGGTATGCCCATCGTGCACCAGGTACACACACAAGCATGCTTCTCTCCCCTGCCCTTCAGAAGAAGCTCTTTATTCCTAGAATGTGACTTGGACTCCTTTTTCAGTGCCCTTTCCCTCTTGTCCAGCTTAGCTCTTCCAAAAGGGACCTGGATTTGGCCAAGAGAGGTGAGGAGGCCCACTGATCAGAGCAGTCTCTGTTCTTTCTTGGTTACTGCTGTCCTCGTTTAGAGGGCAGACAGCAAACAGGAGCTTCCTGGCTCCTTTTTGACAAAATGAATTGTTATGGGAACACAGCGCTCCTCTTGCCGTCTCCCCCATCACCCCCTTTCCTCCCCAGCACAAAAATCTGGAAAGGAAAATAAGTGGGTTAGAAAACAAGAGCTGTTGGAAACTGAGGGCCAAAGAATACTGTGGGTCCTTTCAGCAAGGGGAAGCTCTTTGTATTAGAAACAGTCTCCATGAAATTAGCCAAATGATGAGTCCTTCTGCCAGCTGAGTGAGCACTGTGGGTTGTACACATTTTGTGGTGAGGGCTGGCTCTGGTAGGGGATCTGGAGTTGCCAGGTGTGTCCTGGGGTTATGGCTTGACTTTCGAATGTAAAACTGACTGTGCCTTAGCATCACGCTGTCCAGTGCCCCTGGGGCAGCAGGTGGTGTCCAGGAGAATAGGCGCCTGCTCCAGATTTACATGCCTGTTTGGGCTTTTGTTTGGTTTGGGGTGTTCCTGTCTTCTGCTCTGCAAGTTGGGGGCAAAGCTAGTGTTCCAGGAGACTTGTGCCACAGTTTGTTCACAGTTTACACAAACTCAGCTTTAAAGCTCCACGTAGAATCTGATTGGCAAGCTCCAGCTGCAGCATATGGAGCTTCTAGATGTTCGCTACCTTGAATGGGTGTCAGTGCCACTGAACCACAGGGGGAGAGGACTATAGGGGCAGTGCCACATTCTCCCTCTGCCTGGGAGAGCAATGCTGTAGACCAAGGGGGGGTGAGCTCAGAACATCCTCTCACTCCTCCTCCAGAAGGGGGCAGGTGGGGCCCCTCTTAAGCAGGCTTCTGTTACTTACCATTAAATTGGTTTCCTTTCATCTAAAAGTTGTGTAACTCCCCAGATATTTACTCTGTAGAAGCCAAATATGAATTCTGAACTATCTTAAACCACAAGAGAGAAAATCTAGTTCTACCCCAACCTTGATCAGCAGACCTATCTGTCCCTTCCTCTCCTGAGTCAAATAGTTCTAGCAAGCAAGGCTCCTTGGCTAGTTCCTAATGCACTGACCAGAGCCATCCCAGTAAGGACAACTTCTACTCAAAATGTAACTCTCCCTCTGAACTTCAGATGCCTCTTTTAGCAGAAAAAGGCACTGATTGGATTGGACATATTTATGTGACTGCGGGCATTCGTGGCTGTAGAGTCTTTGACCATAATGTTATATGTAATGGGAACTACCTTATAAACTTGAAAAATAAAGTTTTTATTTTCTATACAGTTTGCTCCTGTGTCTTTTCTGAATAGGGTCAGCCCAGTTACCCAGCTGAGTAGAGTCCTAAGGAGGGCTTCATAAAAATTCATTAATTTCACCAAAAAAATTTTAAAAAACTGTTTAATATAAATAAATGTACACAGGAAAATAAAAGGGATATTTTTAACTCATTTGCAAGGGAGAATTTATTTCTTGTTTCTAAAACATTGCTTTTAGACGTTTAGGACTGGAATGATGAGATTTGCTGTCATATGTACTGAAATTTAATTATTGAAGAGAAAAATCAATACTGTGCTGTGCTGAGCTTAAACACAAAAGCAATAAAACTGACAAACTGATATCAAACCTCCTTTGATTTGGCCTGATTTCATGTCACATCAACTACTTTTTCTCATTTCATTCCTTCACATTTGGTTCTCACTGTTCCCCACTGATCTGGAGAAGTCTATAGTCTACGAAGAATCCTTTTGCCTTTTACTCCAGTGAAGGAGATTAGAATTTGGTTCTAGCTTCCAAGTACCATACATGTCAGACTGTGAGATGTTTTTTCCCTAAATTAATTCCCCCAGAAAAGAGGGGATTGCCTTGTATTCTAGTCATTAAATCTTTCCACCAGAAGGTGTGCATTTTCAACCACACAGTAGTTGAAGCAAACCTGTTACTTGCTATATCCTTAGTCATAAGCATGAATGTTAGAAGTATCAATTGCTTTTCAAGCCCAAATAGTAGTTAAATATCTCCATTTCCCCTACAATAAGTACAAAATCTGCACACTTCTCAAAAACCTTTTGGTGGCAGGTAGAAATGAGTAATTCTGGAGGTTCTTTATTCTTCAAAAACAGTTTCTTGACATTAAAAAAAAAAAATTCTTTTTTGTTTATTGTAGTTTAAGTGAAAGTTCACATTTCTAGTTTCTCATACAAAAATTTATACATACATTGTTATGTGACCCTAATTGCTCTCCCTATACTGTGACAGCACACTCCTCCTTTCCACCCGATTTCCCATTCCATTCAACCAGCTCCTAACCCTCTCTGCCTTCTCATCTCAACCTCCGAACAGAAGCTGCCCATTTAGTCTAATGTATCAACTTGAGCTATGAAGCACAGTCTTCACGAGTATCATTTTATGTCCTACAGTCCAGTCCAATCTTTGTATGAAGAGTTGGCCTCAGGAATTAGTTCTGGGTTGACAGAGTCTGGGGGCTGTGCTTTCTGGGGTTTCTCCAGTCTCAGACTATTAAGTCTGGTCTTTTAAAAAAAAAAAAAAGAATCTTGATGGAAATCTTAAGGGAATATTCTAATTCAAATAATGTCACTCATCTTTTTAAAATTCTTGATTCTGTAAACTGCTAAATTCCACACTTTTTAGATTGAACACTATATGCATTGTTTGAATTGGATACATATAACCATCATTTGATGATTTCACCTAGAGAGTATAAATGAGTTTAGCCAAAAATTTTTTAATTAAAAACCATCTTGTTTTTATTTTCTCAGGGGGAAACTGTAGAATTGCCTAAAGCTCTAGGTCTTCTCTTTGGGTGTATGTGGCATCTCCCCTGAGCCTAGTCTTTTCTGCGTATGCCAGGAAGAAATGTAGAAAAGTAGATTGTTTTGGTGAAACTCTTAGGATCTGTGTCCAAGGCTAGGTTGGGCACTATGCCCGGGGATTTGTACAGGCCAGGCCTGCCCTCTGGGGCCTCACCACTTAATGTTCCCTATGAATTGAGAAAAATGATAATGATTTCAGTTTCATTGTGTGTATATGCATGTGTCTTAGTCATCTAGTGCTGCTGTAACAGAAATACCACAAGTGGATGGCTTTAACGAAGAGAAATTTATTCTCTCACAGTCTAATAGGCTACCAGTCCAAATTCAGGGCATCGGCTCCAGGGGAAGGCTTTCTCTGTCAGCTCTGGAGGAAGGTCCTTGTCGTCAATCTTCCCCTGGATTAGGAGCTTCTCCATGCAGGAACCCCAGGTCCAAAGGACGCGCTCTGCTCCTGGCCCTGCTTTCTTGGTGGTATGAGGTTCTTCTGTCTCTCTGCTTGCTTCTCTTTTATATCTCAAAAGAGACTGGCTTAACGACACTATCTAATCTTTTAGATTTCATCAATGTAACTGCCGCTAATCCATTTTAGGAAGCTGTGGTGGCGTAGTGGTTAACAGTTTGGCTGCTAACCATAAAGGCTGGCAGTTCAAATCCACCAGGCGCTCCTTGGAAACCCGATGGGGCAGTTCTACTCTGTCCTACAGGGTCGCTATGAGTTGGAATCAATTCGACAGCAATCGGTTTCGTTTTGGGTTTAATCCATTTTATTATATCATAGTGCTAGGATTTACAACACATAGGGAAATCACCTCAGATGACAAAATGGTAGACAATCATACAATACTGGGAATCACGACCTAGCCAAGTTGACAGATATTTTTGGAGGACACAATTCAGTCTACGACAGTGAGTGTGTTTAATTGTATTCAATTAAAAGAATGGTCCTTTATTTTGAGATCGTTTGGATGGCCTTTGGTTTATGAAATGATAATGTTGGTTTTTACTGCTCTTTTTTGTTAAATTGGCAACCATGTTGGCCATTTTATTGGTTGCTGAAATTCAAGTCTGGAAATCACTGGACTTTATGATCTGGAAGATCTTTCAACCTCTAACATTCCATGTATGTAAAAAGCACAGCACCATCTTCCCAGAGGCTCTCATCTCTGCCCCCAACCCTCATCACTGTGTCCTTTCTGGCTCCAGGTCAACATAGCTGTCACATGCCTTCCACCTTCATCCAGTGGAGTTACTGCCCTCAGAGAGGAACAGATAGTCTGCAGCACACACCCCCCGCCGCCACGCGCGCACACACACACAGTGACTCAATCCACCAGCCCTACAGGACTTTCCCCCCAGGCTCTGCTCCTTCTCATCACATTTATCACAGTCCCCAGTCACTGCCCACTTGGTCTCTGGGGTGAAGTGCATCTGCAGGGCTCTTTCCCTCACCTCCTTGAGGGCTTACGGCCATTCTATATAAAATGTTAACTCCCACCCACAACACACACTCACTCTCCTGATCCCCTTCCCTGCTTTTTCTTTTAGCACTTAACACTATCTGATATACTTTTACTTCTCTGTTTATGGTGTCTTCACTAGAATGAATAACAGAACTGAGACTACTCAGTCCCATCACAACGGTGATGGGAACATTTTCTCCCATCTCCAGTGCCCTCTTCCTGTTCTTGGCTTCTCCAAACCACAGACTTCCTAGAGCAGCAAAAGGTTCCACCTCCCCAGCACTATCACCCACATCCACATCCCATTAACCTGTTGCATCATAAACCTTCCCTGAGCTACCAGCAAAGAGCTTTTGCATGTGGGCTCTCATATTCATTTCCTGGTACTAGAGGTGTCTGGGCTACGCCTGCCAGGCCCAGCAACAGCTGGTGGTTAGCAGCGTGCACTGCAGTCAGCCCAGATCCCATTTCTGATGTCCAGCTGAAAAGCCCACGTGGGCTCACCACCTCTTGAAACTTGGAAACAAAGTTTGGAAGTCCTACCTAAGCCAGCCGCCCCTTCTCTGGTCTCAGGGGCCTTTACGAGAATCTCATCTCTGATCCCTTCTTTCCAGGAGGTTTTAAACCCTTCAGTAGATTTAGCTTCATGACACAGACTAGGTTGGAAGATTTCATGAGGTTTTACTAATAATACTGCTAAACAAAAATGACACATACATGTTTCTCACTTGCAGAGACACCAATGCACAGACACTCTCTTCCTCATACATGGACTCTGAGGTAGGAGGTATGCTGGCTAAAGAATAAAACACTTGTGGGGTTGAGCCATGGCCCAGACCACAGGTTCACAAGGCACTTGGTTGAAAGGTGGTCCCTTGCAAGCAGAAGCAGAGGCTGGGTCAGCTGCACTATGGCCCTTGGGTGCTGACAGGGACCAGCCAGAGTTAGCATCCACGGCTCAGTCCTCTAGCATGTGAGATCCTACCCAGGAATGGAGAGTGTGGGGGAAGAAGCTATGGTGGCAGCTGACCTTGTTCCAGGTTCCAAGGCTAGAATGGTGTTCCTGGTGCAGAAGAGGATCTCAATTAACATTTGTGGAATGAACTGACTGAATGGGGTGGGGACAGGGGGGGAAGAATTCCAGAAACCATACTCAGGAGTTCCTGGGGCCTTCTACTCCAGGAGAGGGGAACCAAAGGGTAGAATAGCTCCTCTACCAACTATTTTAGAGGTGGCCAGGGAGATAAAAATACCTAAGAAGTTTTGGGGCCACCTGTTATACTGGTTGGTTGGGGAGAAAAAAAGGAGCCTCTCTTCTATCCTCCCAAAGTGTCTTGTACATAATTGGGGCCCACCGTCCCTCCAGGATCCAGCCCTTCTCATCTTGCTCACATTGTGAATTCCTTGAAGGCAGACCTATGTCTTACTCAACTCTGGTCTCCAGTACCTGGCACAGATCAGGCATCAAGCTGTTGTTGAGTGGATCAAGGCCCATAACACCATAATTAGCTTATCTTCTCCTGCTGTCTACCAGTTAGTTTGCTGTCTCTCTGTCGCCAAGCAGAGTTGAACCCTACCTCAAATGACCCCATTCACCTCTCCTTTCCCTGAGGAAACAGTTTCATCCTTAGCCTTCGGGAAAAAGTTCTGAGCCAACTGGTTCATGCGCCTGTTCTGAGGCAGCTGACACCACTCGAGAGAAAGGAGGCCCCGGGCCCCATCCACCTGGTCAGGCTCCCAGCGGCAGCTAGGATGCAGCCAGCGGTAGTAGACAAGCCGCAGAACCAGACCCAAAAGGAAGCTGGAGGCACCCACAGACAGCAACATCTGTAATGGGATCCCACGGGGCAGCCATGTGTTATGAGTCACCCAGGTGACCACAAGGAGACAACTGTCACTCAGGAGGAACACCAGGTGAATGGTGGCCCGGCCTCGAGTATGGCCCTCAGCCACATTGAACCAAGAGAAATAGAGGATGGTGGCCACTGTTGCCCGGTACAGCCACTCGGAGCAGGGGTCTGGCATGAAGTTTGTGCCCTGCAGCCAGACCCAGAGCAGCAGCACCAGCCACAGGCCCAGGAAGTGCAGGGCCACATAGCGGGGGAAGAGGGCTGAGAACAGGGCTACGACTAGGACTCGGGGCCACAGCAGCAGCAGGTTCCACAAGAAGTAGACCACGGAGGAGCCCAGCCCCAGGAGGGGCTTAGAGGGCAGGCAGGTGCGCAAGGCCCGGTGGTAGTCAAGCAGTGCCCACGAGATGCCCAGGAAGGACGTGCAGATGCCAAGCCCTACAAAGAGTAAGAAGAAACAGGTGAGCCCTGGGGGCAGCCTGCTGCACACTCCCCGGAAGTCACAGGTACTGTGGGGGTCCTTATAATCCTGAGGTAGGTACTAAAAACTAAAAACAAAACCCATTGCTGTAGATTACAACTCATGGAGACCCCACGTGTGTCAGAGTATAACTGCTCCAGAGTGTCTTCAATGGCTATGATCTTACAGAAGTAGACCACCAGGCCCTTCTTCAGCAGTGCCGAAGGGTGGATTCGAACGACCTTTTGAACCTTTCAGTTAGTAACTGAGCGTAAACATTTGTACCACCCAGGGACCTGGGGTATTAGAACCCCTCAAACTGCTAAAAAGAAAACTGCAGCTGGAGAACATTAAATAAGTTCACAAAACCAGTAAAAAAAAAAAAAGAGTTGGAAGTCAAATGTGATGTCTTCCTTTCACTGCTATGCTTTACTTTTCAGGTATATCATGGTGATATTTTGCAAGGAGAGGGTACATAACTTGTAAAAAGTCACCCAGAATCTGGCACCCCTGGGTCTTGGCCACACCCTGAGCATCTTCTGTTGTTATTGTTAGGTTAGCATCTTCTAGGGCCCTGTAACCTTTCCCTTCCCAGACAAGCCCAAGTCTCTCTTGGATCTGAGAATCAGCAGTTCCAGTTCCCCCATCTCAGTCTCAGAAACGGAGGCAGGAAATTTCACGGGGAGGCAACAAGCTCTAGCTAAAGTTGCCCTTAGGGCAGGAGGGATGTCCTGCTGTGAACAGGGAATGTACCCTCACTCCTCTCTCCTCCCCTCCACACTCAGACTGGCCCCTAGTCTTGATTTTGCAAGATCTACAAGTAGAGAGTAAGGATCCTATCCCATCTCCTGGTCCCTATTCTGGGCTAAGGGCACCAGGACCTCCAGGGAGGGGCAGAAGCAGCTCTAGAATGCTTCCTCTCCTGCCCCCTTCACAGATGTTTACTGGGTACCTGTTATGTGCCAGGAACATACTCCCGACCTAGAACCAGACCTGTAGCCATCAGTCTTTCTAACTACTCCACACTCTACATCTCAGCAGGACCCACTATGCCAAATTCTGAGACCTTGACAAGCCTTTGCCCATTATGTTAGGTGGGCCAGGAGCACATGCCTCCCCTCACCAGGCCTACTCCTACTCACTCTGCAAGTCCCAGTTTGAATATCCCCTAGAGTAATATCATCCTGACCCCACTCACCCACTCCAGCTGTGTCCTGTAACACTCCACCCACTTCTTCCTATCACATAGTAATTACCTACTATTTCCTTATCTCTGAGCTTCTCCAGGGTAGGAAACAGGTCCTGCTCACCTGGGATCCCCAGGGCTGACCACCTATTAAAAACCCGTTGCCATCCTGTCGATCCAACTCAGGGCTGAGCACAGTACCTAGCTACTAAAAATATGTCTTCTTCCACCCCCAAACCCCACCATATACACACAGTGTAGAATGTCTCCACTTGGCCATGGTCCTAGACACCCACCTCCCTCAAATAACCAAAAAACCTACCCTGTTGCCGTCAAGTCGATTCCGACTCATAGTGACCCTACAGGACAGGGTAGAACTGCCCCACAGAGTTTCCAAGGAGCACCTGGTGGATTTAACTGCCGACCCTTTGGTTAGCAGCCATAGCACTTAACCACTACACCACCAGGGCTTCTTCCCTCAAACAGACAAACTATATGTCCAGTGAGTGCTGTGTGACCCAGGGCAAGTCGCTTCACCTTTCTGCACCTCTTTTGTGTAGAATGGAGATAAATATAGCAATGACCTAACAAGGTGACTGTGAACATGAACAGTGTTAGACTGCAAAGTACTTTGCATAATGCCTACCTAATAGCAGGCACTCAATCATGAAGACTGCTATTATCAGATTTAAAACTATGATTACAGACTTGGACTAGCAGAAGCTGGAAGGGCCCTTGAAGATTGAGTCCAACCCACATCTTTTACAGTCGTGGAAACTGAGGCCAGAGAAGGGAAGACTCTTGCTGGGTCACACAGCAAGTGATGGCAGAGCGGGGGACTGTGTTTGGGGGACTATAAATGCCACAGCATTTATAGCATGGGACTTTGAAGTATCCAGTGGTGAAGGGGAAGCCCTGGGCCCTGAATCAGACATGGGTTGGAGTCCTAACTCGGCCACTGTGACCTTGGGTGAGTCACTTCCCTTTTACAGGCAAAATTGTCTGGAAGCTCCTCACTATACAAATTTCTCCCCATGTTTTTATGAGGCTCTGTCAGCCTCTGCCACCTGCCTCTCCCCTTCAGATCACTGGACACACTTTTCTGTAATTATTATTTTATATTCTGTCATCCGGGCAGGGGCTGTGTCCGTCTTGTTTTCTGCTGAGTCCCCAGTACAGTGACTGGCACAGAAGAGGTGCTCCATAAAAACTTGTTGACTATGTGAAGGTGCTCGATAAATGTTTATCGACTAACAAGTTGCCTAGTGTGTGTCAGGCACCCTATACACTTAATCTCTGCTATCTTCAAAACAGTAAGAATTACAATGCAGATTTATTTTGCTCCAGGCAGTTTGCTTTATGTGCATCATCTCTTAATCCTTTCATCAATACTGTGAGGTAAGAGCATTTATTGTGTTCATTTTACAGATGAGAACAAACTGACCCTCAGAAAGGTTGGGTCATTTGCCCAAAGTCATACAGCTAGAGAGTGACTTTGGATTTGAACCCAGGGCTGCCTGACTAAACATGTTCTCCTCTTTTCCAAGCAGCCTTTTTAAAAAAGAGCAAATATTTGTGACACTAGCGGGGAACTTTCCCAAGCCAGAAGAAGGGGTTGGCTGCTGGCCCGTCACTCACACTGGTAGTACTCGGCCTGCCCGCTCTGCAGCACAATGGCCAACACCAGCGTCAGCTGCGGTGTCGTCTCCAAGAAGGTCTCAAAGAGTCGCAGCATGCTGATGTCCAGGGAGAGGAAGTCAGCATATGCCATGTCAAACTCTGAGGGCACCTCCTGCCGCCACACCAACAGTCCCTGCTGCAGCCCCGTCACACACCTAGGCAGCACATAAGATGCCCAAAGGGCCAGGTTAGTCTGGTGACATTCCTCCTTCCCCTACCCATCTGGTGGATGCAGACAGGCTCCGATCCCAGCTCTGTCACTTACACGCTGTGGGCCTTGGGCAAGCAACTTAACCTCATTGAGCTTGTTTCCTTATCTGTAAAATGGGGACACACGCAACTACTACTGCTCTCTCTTACTGGCCAGGCACTGTCCCAAGCGCATGACAAACCTTGTCCCATTTACTCCTTGCAACATCCCCATTTTATAGATGGGGAAACAGGATCAAAAAGCTAATAAGTAGTGAAATCAAGATTTGGACCCAAGGCTGTTTGAATTCATAAGATGGTAGTTCTCAAATTTTAGCAGGCATAAGAATCTTTTGGAATCCTGGGGGCAACAGGAAGCCATTGAGAACTTCTTAGCACAGGCACAACCAGGTCAGATTGTACTCTAGAAAGAGCACCCGAGCTATGTGGAGGTGGGGGGGGGCGATGGTTGGAGTGGTTAGACTGGAAGCAGAGATCCCACTTATGTGAAACTATGAAAAGAATACACTGATTTTCATTCAATCTGCAGTCCGTTGTCCGTTGCTGTCGAGTAGATTCCGACTCATAGCGACCCTACAGGACAGAGTAGAACTGCCCTATAGGGTTTCCAAGGAGCGTCTGGTGGATTCGAACTGCCGATCCTTTGGTTAGCAGCCGGAGCTCTTAGCCACTGCACCACTGGGGTTTCCCAGTCTGCAGTAGGAGCCAAGAAATCTGCATTGTAAATAGGCATCCCCAGGTGATTCCAATCCAAGTGGTGAACAAAACTTTGTGAAACAGGAGCCCAAGGAGCAAGACCTTTTATCTTGTGGGCAACGAGGAGTCACTGAGAGCTTCTGAGCATAGGCAGCAAAGCTCAACAGTCTGTCTGACTCATGCCCAGGACTGTAATAACTATGCCCCTTCCCACCCATCTGGGGTTTTATTGAGGCCTGTATGGTCCCTCAATGAGGCAAAACTGAGTCAAAGTTCCCCTCGCCCACTCCTGGAGACTGCAGCTTTGTCAAGGCAAGATCTGGAGAGAATCTGTAAAAATGGATTCAAGAGAGGATCCTGGCTCCAGTCACACCATCTGTCATGGACTGAATTTGTGTCCCCCCAAAATATCTGTCAACTTGGCTAGGTCATGATTCCCAGTATTGTACGATTGTCTACAGTTCTGTAATCTGATGTGATTTCCCTATGTGTTGTAAATGCTATCACTACGATGTAATAAGATGGATTAGTGGCGATCTACAAGATTAGATTGTCCTAAGCCAATCTCTTTTGAGATATAAAAGAGAGAAGCGAGCAGAGAGACAGGGGAACCTCACACTACCAAGAAAGCAGTCTCAGGAGCAGAGCACGTCCTTTGGACCTGAGGTTCCTGCACAGAGAAGCTCCCAGACCAAGGAAGACTGACGACACGGACCTTCCTCCAGAACTGACAGAGAAAGCTTCCCCCTGGAGCTACACCCTGAATTTGGACTTGTAGCCTACTAGACTGTGAGAGAATAAATTTCTCTTTGTTAAAAGCCATCCACTTATGGTACTTCTGTTATAGCAGCACTAGATGACTAAGACACCATCCCACTCAGATCGCACTGTGTCCTGACTTCATCCTATGATTCTGACCCTTGCTTTCAGTTTTCCCTCTATAGAGGCCCACCAGCTCTGAAAAGAAGCACTATCCACACACATTCTCCGAGACACAGCCCAACCCCAGCTGGCTCAAGGGACACAGATGAGTCAGATGCCATCTCTGCCCTTGTGTTCAGTTTGGGGGTGTGGGGAGCAAAAGTTCAAGGAGGAGAATACAACTGGGAAAGAAAGGGCGAGAGGCGGGCAGCTGTGAGGGAACAGCACTATTCTGGGATCAGGACAGCTGAAACTCCCAGGGTGGCCCAGGTAATCATGCTAGCTGACGTCTACTGGATGCTTACTCTGTGCCAGGGAGATTCACAGATTTTATTTAACGCTCATAAAGCTCAAAGGTAGGCACTATTACCGTGCCCACTGGAACAATGAGTAAAAAATACTGAAAAGGTCAAGTGACTTGCCCAAGACTCCAAGCACAGTTAGAAAGAACAGGCAGGCTTTGAACTGCGGCTGCAAGTCTTTGCCATTACAGCAGAGTTGACACCGTGCCAAGCACTGTGCTAGGCACTTTCCATCTCTTTCACTCTTTACAACAGGCCTATCTGCCAGAGCTACCTCTAGACTACCACTTCCTTTTTGTAGAGTAAGAAACTGAGGCTCAGAGTGACGCAGGAATGAGGTCACAGGTGGCAAAACCAGAGTTGGATCCCAGAGAGCTGACTCCAAAGCCCATGCTCCTCCTTTTCTTCCCTGGGCCTCAGTTTCTTCACCTGTGCAAGGATGGATAGACTAGGAGAGCTCTAAGGGCTTTCAGCAGTTCTCTTCCCTTAAGGGGCGGGGCGTTCACATATAGGTAGAGGTGCCTGCAGGGGCTGTTTCCTCTCTTCACTCCCGGTTCTCTCGTCCTCTCCCTCTCCCGCCACCCCGGTGTCGGGACTCTCACCACACTAGTAACCCAAATGCAGGAGGTGCCCGCTGGGCTCAGTATCCCTCCCCTTTCCCGAGGGCGGGGCGATCACCTGTACAGATAGCCCAGCTGTAGGAGATGCAACAGCGCCAGACAGCGGCCGGACGGCTGCGACCCGTGCAGGTCCGCGGGGTCGGCGCGCAGCCAGACCCAGCTGAAGAACTGCAGCGCGACCGAGGCAAGGAGCAGCAGCGCCAGCACCAGCGCTGCCCACAAGTAGCGGCCGCTGAGCACGTACTGAACGAAGGCCCACAGGTCGGTGCCCAGGTCAAGCAGGAAGGCGGCAGTGCCCAGTACGCCCAGGACCAGGTCCCAAAGTGGGGCGGCGCGGGGCGACCAGGGCATGGCCCGCCTGCCTCTCCCCCTACCCCTCCTTCTCTGCGGCTCTGGCCTGCCCTCGGGGTCCGGGGTCGCCGAGTGAGAAGAGACGGGCACAGCCCTTGGGCAGCCCCGGGCCGGGGCCTGCTGGGCGGGACTTCCCCGCCCCGCCTTGTCCGGGGAGGAGCGAGGCCCTTGGAAGCTGCTGCCGAATTCCGCTGCTCCCCTACGTCAGGCGGCTGGCAGTCCAGAGCTCCGACAGGGGCTGTAACTCTGCCAGTTGTCAGAAACCACCCCAGCCCCAACTCGGTGCACTCCAAGGGTCGTGAGGCCCGAAAACCGACAGTCCAAGGCGCACAGCCCTTAGCTTAGCAGGCTTCCCAGCCATTTTATTTTACATTTGAGACGCCTAAAGGCCCAAGAAAAGGAGTACTGGTGGCGCAGCGGTTAAGCGCTTGACTACCAACCAAAAGGTCAGGGGTTCCAACCCACCAAGCGGCTCCACGGGAGAAAGACCTGGCAATTTATTACCGTAAAGATTATAGCCTAAAAAACCCTCTGGAGCAGGTCTGCTCTGTCATGGGCTCGCTATGAGTCAGAATGGACTGGAGGGCACCTAACAACAGAGGCCCAAGACGGCGTGAAGGGCCTGGAGATTAGAACCCGGGCTCTACCCGTGATCCCTCACATCTGCGTTGTTGGAAAAAGCAAAACAAAAAGACACATTCTGATCCCTAAATGGTGGACGTTGCAAACTAAGCGTGCCCAGAGTTCGGGCTGCGAGTTACACAAACGGCTCCGGATCATCAGGGTACATCTTCCCGGGCTACTGATTTTACTTTGATCACTGGGGAAAGGGAGGGAGAAACGTTCACTAACTGTGTGAGTTGCTTCAAACATTATATATTAAAGGGAAAGCCGCACAAAATAAGCTTCACGATGCGCACTAGTTTTTAGATAAGACTTGAAACTTGACGGAAATGTGTTGTGGGGGGGTGTCTTTAGGGCTTCATTTCCGAATCTGGCTGTCTAATTCACTCTCTGGGGACGCGGGAGAAATGGTGGGTAAGTCCAGGTCTCTAAAGGGTGATGCTGACCAGGTTTTACAGGGAGGAAAGTGAGCAGCCCAGGGGGTAACGTGCGACGCCAAGGTCAGGGCAAGAGCAGGGCGCGCATGCCCAGCAGCGCTGCAAGCAGCAGCGCGAGCTGGGGCACTGGCATGGCGCCGGAGGCGCGCAGGCAAGTGGCGTACGCGTCGAAGGCCACCTCGCGTAGCGCGCACACGTGCTCGGTGCGGCAGGCCTTCCCGCAGTTCTGGGCGTCGTAGCTGACAGAGTTGTAGACGTAGTAACGCTGCAACACGCCTTGGTCGCGGGCGATGCGGCCCAGGGCCGAGTGCATGCAGCGGGCGCTGGCGTCCGGAACCTCGTAGGCCTCAGTCAGCCTGTACTCGAGCTGCCAGCTTGGCGTTCCCTGCGCATTCGCCTGGCTCAGGTTCACGAAGTAGGTAACCATGTCCTGGAGAGGGGAGGCGGTGCAGACCTGCCTTAAACAGCTGCCTGGTTCCACTCCAATCCTGCTCCTTGCATTCGCCCCCAGCTTTTTTATAGCCATAATAACCACTATTAGTTATTGAGCGTTTATTGAGAAGGACCCTGGGTGGCGCAAACGGTTTGCCCTTGACCACTTACCTAAAAGTTGGCAGTGTGACCCCACCCAGCAGCTCCAAGGAAGAAAGACCTGGTGATCTACTTTAATAAAAATTACAACCAAGAAAACCCTATGGAACAGTTCTACTCTGGGGTCTCCGTGAGTCGGAATCAATTAGAAGGCACCGGTTTTGTTTTGTTTTAAGTATGTTTGGCAGACATTCTCTGATTGGAACTAATGAGATAACTGTGCTTATTACCCCCATTTCACAGATGAGGAAACTGAGGCCTAAAGAGGTTAGTTCACTTGGTCAGGATCCTACAGCTGTTAAGTGGCAGAGGCAGGATTGGAACCCAGGTTGTTGAACCCCACAGCCTGTGTATTTTCTGTCACACCAAGCTCCCAGCACATAAAAGATGCTCAATAAATATTTTCAGAATGAATGCATAAAAAGCAACATAAAAGAAGTGGGATTAACCATGGGCAAAGTAACCTGCCTAGCTCAGAGAAGTTTTAGAATGTAAGGATACACTCAAGAACCCCTAGGACTTGGGTGCATCTCCAAGACTAGAATCTGGAAGGGTTTCTCTGTCCAACACTTTTGAGTTAAATTTGTAGCCCTGCTTCAGGTCACTAGAGATGGGGTTAGAGGAGCTGCTGTGTTGAACAGCAGCTGCATGCCAGGCACCTTACATATGTTATTTCATTTAAAAACAGTTGATGTGAAGTCAATTTTGGCTCAAGGCAACCCCATGTGTGTTAGGTAGAACTGAGTTCCATAAGGTTTTCAATGCTGATTTTTCAGAAGATCACCAGGCCTTTCTTTGAGACGCCTCCAGGTGGACTCAAACTGCCATCCTTTCTGTTAGCAGCCATGTACTCTAACCATTTAGTCCTTTCAAAACTCTGTGAGGGTACTGTCAATCCTATTTTGCAGATGAAGCAACTGAGTCACAGAGAGAGCAAAAAGTTTATATGTGGTTAAGCCAGGATTAAGATCCGGGTCTGTCTGAGAAGAATGTAGGGCATGTTACGGAGTGGGGGGCAGTGAGGAGGTTCCTCAGCCCTTGCTCAGATCCTGTGAGTGCCTATGTGGGCAACAGACCACACTCTTAAAAATCCTCAGACCTCTTCTTTATCTGCATTTCCTCCTCAGAATCAAGGACCTTCGTTATCTCATCCAGTCTCTGGCTTTAAATGTCCTCTAGATGCTCTCAGCTGTAATATCAAATCTCTAAACCTTTCTCTTCCCTGAAACTCCAACTCAGACATCCAGTTGCCTCCTCCCTTGGTGTTTTCTCTTGGATGCCATTTAGCCATCTCAAAGTTAACAGGCCCAGAATTCTGGCTCCTCCTACAGTCACCCCATCTCAGCAAAGGGCAACCTCATCCTTCCAGTTGCTCAGGCCAAAAACTTGGGAGTCCTCCATAACTTCTTTTTCTCTCACACCCCATATCCAGTCCACCAGCAAATCCTGTCTGCTCTGCCGTCATAATACACCCAGAATCCGACACTTCTTACCCCTCCCACTACTACCCTGGGCCTAACTGTTCCCCCTGCCTCTGCCTTTGCCCTACAGCCTGCTCTCTGCACAGCAGACATGGTGATTTTGTAAAATTAACGTCAGAATATTTCATTCTTCTGCCGTAAACCCTCCAAATCCAGAATCTTCATCATGGTCTATGTGATCTGACCCTGTCTTCTCTCACTCTCCCCTCCACCTTCCACGCCAGCCACACTGGCCTCCTTGCTCTTCTTGTTTATCCCACAGCCTGTGCATTTTCTGTCATACTAAGCCCCCGGCACATAAATATTTGCAGAATGAATTGATAAAAGGCAACACAAAAAGAGTGTGTCTTAGCCCCACTGCAATGGTGCCAAGTACCCAGGTTTTGTTTAAACACACCAAGCACATTCCCACCAAGGGGCCTTTGACTCGCTGTTCACTCTCCTTCCCCAGGTGCCTACATGGCTCACTCCCTCACATCACTCAGAACACTGCTGAAATTTCACCCTATTTGTGACATTTACCCTGCCCACCTCTCTAACACAGCATGCACTCACCCCACCCATCACCACCCTGTCTCCCCACCCTGCTTAGTTTCTGTCCTTAGAACTTCTCTCTGTGGCATACTTAATTTCACTGATTTATTGTCTGTTGCTTCCTGTAAGAATGTCAGCTCCAGGAGAGCAGTGACTTGGTCTGTTTTTGTTCACTTAAGTATCCTCTGAACTTAGAGCGGGGCCCAGCACACGGCAGATGCTTAATACATTTGTTGAATAAATGAAAGAATAATGCTTCTTTGTGATTTCAGCAATCACAAACACATCCTAGGAGGTGAAGGAGTGCTTGATGAGTTAGGGGCCTGCTTTGGCTGGAGCCCAGCTAGAGCCCATGTAGGGAAAAGGTTGGCATGGGCCTGAGGTCAGACTGTAGGAAGCCTTGAGTACCAGGCCAAGGAGATCCAATTTTATATTGTGGGCACTGGGGAGCCACGGAAAGTTTTTGAGCAGGAGAGAAATGGTGTGAAAGCAGTGCTTTAGAAAGATGAATCCCTTCTGTGGTACATAGCAGATGGGCTACAGTGGGGCAGGTCTGGAGGCAGGGAGACCAGGTAGGAGGCTGTAGCAGTGATCCAGGGGCAAAGGGAGTTTGGGGAAAGAAGAATTGATCTGATTTGGTGACAGGATTTGGTGGTGGCTTCAGGGTTCTGAATGTGAGCTGTAGAACAGTGGAAATAATTTGACCTTCCTGAGTTTCAGTGGTCAGTAATGGGTAGATGGGTGGGAAGGAGAGTTAGGGGAGGTGATTATGTGTTTATGTCCCTGCCTACCCTCCCCTGTATCCCCAACAGATGCAGCGCTCCTGACCTGGAGGTTCAATGTAGCTTGGTCATATTCGATTACCCGAATGCCTGGATTGTTGGCCCCATCGACCACTCCAGGTAACGTAGTTTTCCAGGGCGTGACTCCAGGTGTGAGGAACATAACACTGATGGGGGCACCTTTCAGGTGAGAAAGAGGGAATGAGAGATGCTGAAAGAGAAGGAGGAAGGTGGGCTGGCAGCCGCCCTCCAGGTTGTGTACCTGTGTCATCATAGAACATCCGGAAGCTGTCAGTGTGGTGATGCCCAAAGAACTGCCCCGCGATGACCCGATGGTGCTTCCGAACCACCTCTAGGTACCGCTCGTTGAAGTCCTTCCGGAACCATGCCTTGTTCCGTGCCTTCTCAAAGAACCCTGGGGGCACATGGCCAGTAATGTACACCTATGAAGAGAGGGCGCCCAGGAAGGGCTCAGAAATGTCCACCCAGCCCCTCATTTCCATACTCAAAACCTGCCTATCTCCCAAAGACAGGCAGACAGGCTCAAATACATCTCTGAAGTTCTTTCCCATTTCCTCTTCCAGGCTGATTCAGGCGTTTTCTCTGTGCCCAGCAGTGAATGTACCACCTGTTTTCCCGCCTCTGTGCCTTTTCCTATGCTATGCCTGCCACCTGGAGTACCCTTCTCATTTTTCTTTTGTAAATCCTACCCATACTTCAAGGATCACTGGTGGTGAAAGATCAGCAGTTCATACTCACCAGCCACTCCGCAGAAGGAAGATGGGGCAGCTGCCTCCATAAAGATTACAGCCTTGGAAACCCCATGGGGCAGTTCTGCTCTGTCCTATAAGGTCGCTATGAGCGGGATCGACTTGACGGCACCAACAACCACCCATACTTCAAAGCCTAGCTCAAAGGGCATCTCCTCCATGAGGCCTCACTGATCCTTCAGAAGCTAGTCTTCTCCTCTTGGAGCTCAGGCACTGTGACTAAACCATTCTTGCATGGTTGTGCAGTATGAGTATGGGTCATGTGTGCTCTTGTATTGTATCCCTCAAGTCACTCAGCTACCAGTACCTGGGCACTTGGCTACCATTGCAGGAGGTAGAGCAAGGGGGGTTAAGAGCATGAGCTTTGCAGTCAGACTGCAGCTTAGACACCAGCTGTGTGACCTTGGGCAAGTCATTTCGCCTCTCTGAGCCTCACTTCCCTCATCTGGAAGATGGCGATAATAGCACCTGCCTCGTGGAGTTCTGAGAATTAAATGAGATGATCCATATAAGGCACTTAGTAACGTGCCTGATGCAGTGAGTGCTCAAAAGCACCAACCATGAGATCCTGCTGTGACGTGCTGGTCAGTGTCGGGGTTCTAGCACATGAGACACAGGGCCTGTCCTCCAGGACACACCTGGAGAGCTGGGCTGTCACCTACTCTGCATCCCTTGAGGACCAGTACACAAGTGTGGGCTGCAGCTACAGTGTGTGGCAGCAGTAGAAAGAGCACTGACTTGATGTCTGGAGACCAAGGTTCCGGTCTCGGCTTCACTGCTTATTGTGTGACCTCGGAACTGTCACCACTCCTGTGAGCCTCAGGGTCCTCATCTGTAATGGGCCTCAGAATCCCAGCCTCACAGGACTGTTGTGAGGATGGAAGAAGCACCCTCCTGGTGCCCAGCCGATCAAGGACCTTCTATGATGTGGGCATCTCAGGGTGGATGGGTGAGTTTGTGCCGAGGCAGGAGACTTGTTCAGGAAGTGACCTCAAACAAGAAGGAGGAGGAGACGGGGGCCCTTACCATTTCCCCGGCCCAGGAAGCATTGGTCAGCACGTCTTCTAGCCACTGGAACTGCTTGCCAGGGTCAGCCATGCCAGCTGTCTGCTCGTTGTTGCTATAGTACAAATTGGTGTTGAGGACCACAATTCGCCCAGCCCTGCTCGGACCTGGCAACTTCTCAGAATAGAAGGCACCTAGGGTGTCACAGCCAAGGAGAAGCCTGAAGGAGTCCCCTGCCTCTGGCCAGGCATACCTCTGCCCCCCTCTACCACACTCTCCCACCTTCTGCTTCCCTGGCAAGAGGAGAGATGGGGGAGAACCACCATCTTTCCCATAGGAGGGACATCATGGGATCAACGTAGCCAAGTGAGTAATAGCCAAGACTCTGGAATCAGGCTTCCTAGGTTCAGATCCTGAGTCTGTCACTTATTAGCTGTGCAACTTGGGAAAGTTACTTAACCTTTCTGTGCCTCAGTTTCCTCATCTGTATAATAAGTGTGTTTGCCCCTCTAGATCCACTGTCAACCACCTTCTTCATCCAGCTCTCTGCCCCAGGAGGCTGATCTGTGTGAACTAAATCAGTGGGCTTCCTGCCCGTGGGCTTCTGGTTGGCAATGACCAATGGGGAGCCCCAGCAGCAAGAGATGGAAGGAAGGAAGAGAGTGGGGTCAGGCTGTGTCTTTGGAATCAGTGGTTCTCAACCCGGTGATTTTGCTCCCCCGAAGAAACATTTGGCAATGTCCAGAGACATTTTTGGTTGTCACATCTGGGGGATGTTACTGATATCTAGGGATGCTGTTAAACGTCCTACAATGCACAGAGGACAGCCACCACAACAAAGAATGATCAAATCTAAAATGTCAATAGTGCCAAGTTTGGGAAACCCTGCTCTGAACTGATGGTTACTGCTCCTTCCTAGAGTTGATGTGAGGAGTCTAATAACATGCTGAAGGTAGTGCCTGGCAAACAGTTAAGTGCTCAATAAGTATTGGTTGTTACAATCATCATTAGTGCTGTATGTTTAAGAGCATGGGCTTTAAACCAAAAGAGACCTACAAAAACGGAAAAATATACTATGCTCTTGGATAGGAATACTTAACATTGTGAAAATGTCAGTACTACCCAAAGTGATATATAGATATAATGCAATCCCGATCCAAATCCCAACAGCATTCTTCAACAAGATGGAAGAACTAATCACTATATGGAAGGGAAAGAGGTCCTGAATAAGTAAAACATTATTAAAGAAGAACAACGTAGGAGGCCTCACACTACCTGATCTCAGAACCTACTATACAGCCATGGTAGTCAAAACAGCCTGGTACTGGTATAATGACAGACACACAGACCAATGGAATAGAACTGAGAACCCAGATGTAAATCCATCCACTTATGGACAGCTGATCTTCGATAAAGGACCAAAGCCCATTAAATAGGGAAGAGACAGTTTCTTCAACAAATGGTGCTGGCAGAACTGGATATCTATCTGTAGAAAAATGAAACAGGACCCATACCTCACACCATACACAAAAACTAACTCAAAATGGATCAAAGACCTAAATATAAAACCTAAAACTATAAAGATCATGGAGGAAAAAATAGGGACAACGCCCTGCAGCAACCCTATAGGACAGAGTAGAACTGCCCCATAGGGTTTCCAAGGAACGGCTGGTGGATTCGAACTGCCAACCTTTCAGTTAGCAGCCTGAGCTTTTAACCACTGCGCCACCAGAGCTCCAGGGACAACAGTAGGGGCCCTAACGTATGGCATAAATAGAATATCAAACATAACTAAAAATGCACACACAACAGAAGATGAACTGGATAAATGGGACCTCCTAAAAATTAAACAATTATGCTAGATAAAAAGACGAGTCAAAAGAGAACCTACAGATTGGGAAAAAAATTTTGGCTGTTACATATCCAACAAGGGTCTAATCTCTAAAATTTAAAGAAACTTCAACATCTCAACAACAACAAAAAGTAATCTGATTAAAAAACAGGCAAAGGATATGAACAGATACTTCACCAAAGAAGACATTCAGGCTGCTAACAAACATGAAGAAATGCTTACGGTCATTAGCAGTTGGAGAGATGCAAATCCAAACTACGGTGAGTTACCACCTCACCCCAACATTACTAGCAATTAAAAAAAAAACAAACAGAAAATAACAAATGTTGGCAAGGTTGTAGGGAGATTGGAACTCTTATACACTGCTGGTGGGAATGTAAAATGGTACAACCACTATGGAAAATGGTATGGTGCTTCCTCAAAAAGCTAGAAATAGAAATACCATATGATCCAGCATTCCCACTCCTAGGTATATACCCTGAACCGTGGCATGAATACACACACCCATGTTCATTGCAGCATTATTCACAATAGCAAAAAGGTGGAAACAACCTAAATGCCCATCAACAGATGAACAGATTAAAAAACTAGTATATACACACAGTGGAATACTATGCAGTGATAAAAAATAATGATGAATCCACAAAACATCTCACAGCATGGATGAATTTGGAGGACATTATGCTGAGTGAAATAAGTCAATTACAAAAGGACAAATACTGTATGAGACCACTATTATAAAGTAACAACAGAAGGTTTACACATAGAAAAAAAAGAAAAGAAAAACATTCTTTAATGGTTACCAGGGATGGGAGGGAGAAGGAGGGAAAATTACCAAATAGATAGATGACACATATTGTTATTGGTGACAGGAAAGGCAATACACAATATGGGGAGAAGTCCGCACCACATGACCAAGACAAGAGAGGACACTGAGAGGAACACAGGAATAAATGGCAACTACGGTAACTACTATAACATAGACAATCCTGCAACGATAGTATTAACAAACAATAATTTACAATGGATACATAGGTAGGTAGATATGCCAAGAGGTGTGGGAGAGTGTAGGAGAGCATACCCACTGGCAGATACAGGTTTGGTGGTGGATATTCCTACATACATGACTGTAGATGTTTCTCATATCTTAATATAGACAATAGAGCATAAAAGGGGCACAGTCAGGGAAACCTCTGAGACTAACTAAACACCTCATGGAATGAAGTTCCTAGGCTTGAAGGCAAAGAACCATAGACTCGGGACATCTACGTCAGCTGGCACAATATAGTTCATAAAGACAATGTTATGCATCCTACTTTGGTGAGTAGCGTCTGGGGTCTTGAAAGCTTGTGGGAGGCCATCTAAGATACAACTATTGGTCTGTTCCAGTCCAAAGCAAAGGACAGGAAAAAAAAACAAAGACTCAAGGAAGCAATTAGTCCAGAGGACTAAGGGACTACATGAACCACAGCCTACACGACCCTCAGACCAAAAGAACTAGATGGTGCCCAGCTACTACTACTGACCACTCTTAACTGGGATCACAACAGAGGGTCCCGGGCAGAGCAGGAGAAAAATATAGAACAAAAAGCAGCCATCTAAGATACTCCACTAGTCTCACCCTGTCTGGAGCAAGGGAGAAAGAAGAAAACCAAAGACACGAGGGAAAGATTAGTCCAAAGGACTCATGGACCACAACTACCACAGCTTCTACTAGACGGAGTCCAGCACAGCTGGATGTCGCCTGGCTACCACCACTGACTGCTCTGATATGGATCACGATAGAGGGTCCCAGACAAAAGCTGGAGAAAAATGTAGAACAAAGTTCTAACTCACAAAAAAAGACCAGACTTACTGGCCTGACAGAGACTGGAGAAACCCTGAGAGTATGGCCCCTGGACACTTTTATAGCTCAGTAATGAAGTCACTCCTGAGGTTCACCCTTCAGCCAAAGATTAGACAGGTCCATAAAACAAAACAAGACTAAATGGGCACACCAACCCAGGGGCAAGGACAAGGCAGGAGGGGACAGGAAAGCTGATAATGGGGAACCCAAGGTCGAGAAGGGGAGAGTGTTGACAGGTCGTGGGGTTGGCAACCAGTGTCACAAAACAATATGTGTATTAATTGTTTAATCAGAAACTTGTTTGCTCTGTAAACCTTCATCTAAAGTACAATTTTAAAAAATTTAAAAAAAAAATTCAAGTTCACAAAGGAGACCAGACTTGCTGGTCTGACAGAAGTTGGAGGAATCCCGGAGACTATGGCCCGAAGACACCTTTCTGACCTGGAATTGAAACCATTCCCAGAGACCAGCTTCCAGCCAAACAATAGACAAGCCCATAAAATAAACAGTTAACACCCGAGAGGAATGTGCTTCTTAGAGCAATCAATTATATGAGATCAGAAGGGCAATATTAGCCCAAAAACAAAGATGAGAAGGCAGGAAGAGGTAGAAAATCAGGATGAAAGGAAACGAGGAACCCAGGATGGATATGGGGGGAGTTCTGACACATTGCAGGGAATGCAAACAATGTCATGAAACACTTTATGTACAAACTATCGAGTGGGAATCTAATTTGCTCTGTAAACTTTCACCTAATGCACAATTGAAAAAAAAAAAAAGCATGGGCTTTGGAGTCAGCCCAGGATTCTGCTCCCAAGTCTGCCTCTTCTAAGCTATGTGACCTTTGTCAAGTGACTTTTATCTTCAAGCTTCAGTCCCCTTATCTATAAAATGGGGATAAAATCAGTATTTATTTCATGGGGTTATTGTCAAGAAAAAATTAGATCAGAGCGTGGCATATGCTAAATGCTCCTTATAGTAGCACATGATGTTAGTACCTTCTTTGAAGAGAGTGATGGATTCATTACTGAGCCAGGGTCTCCACAGTTCTGCTACCTGATTGTAGATACTGTTGCTCCCTGCTGGCAACTGGTTTTTGGGGTGAAAGTCATGATTTCCCAAAGCAGCATAGACTTTAGTATCTGGGAGGGAAAGGAGAGATATAAAAATACATGATTAAGCATTTGGTGGAGTTAGTAATTTTCAGTTGGCTGCCTGCCATCAGAGATAAGTGGAAAACCACATTTGATAGAATCTGGCTAAACTGCTCAGATTGCAGAAGGAAGAGCAGTGAGTTCCCTGATCCCCGTCCCTAACCCCATTTCTGACAGGAAGTTCCCTGGTCAAAAAGGAGCCCTCAGATGATGAGAAGCGGGAAATTTTTGTTGCTGTTAGTTGCTGTTGAGTTGGCTCCAATGCATGGCAGCCCCGTGTACAACAGAACAAAACATTGACTGGTCTTGTAACATCTTCATAATCGTTGGTATGCTCAAGTCCATTGTTGTGGCCACTGTGCATTTTGAATGCCTTCCATCCTAGGAGGCTCATCTTCAAGCACTATATTGGACAATATTCTGTGGTGATCCATAGGGTTTTCATTGGCTGATTTTCAGAAGTAGATCGCCAGGCCTTTCTTCCTAGCCTGTCTTAGTCTGGAAGCTCTGCCAAAAGCTGTCTACCATGATTGAAATACTGGTGGCAAAGCTTCCAGCATCATAGCAACATGCAAGCCACCACAGTACAACAAACTAACAAATGTGTAGTGGGAGGGGAACTAGAAGGTCTAATAATCTTCAGATCCATTATCAGCCACTTAGTAATTTAGTGTTCCTTGTTCTTGTCAATTGCAGATTCATCTTACTTTTAGAGAAGGGGTCTGGTTCACCTGTAGGAGGTCTTAGGAGTTTCACTCACTCAGGCATTCAACAAATACTTATTGAACACCTACTATGTGCCAAGGCATAGAGCTGGGAACCAGGCACCCAGTCCCAGTCCCAGAGGCCTGACAGTTCAGTAGGGCTGACAGGCAATGAGTAATTAGATGTGTGAGGGCTGTCACAAAAAGGGAAGGGCTGCTTGCTGTGGGAATGTGTAATGGGGTTGGGGAGGATGGGGGAGGCCTTCCTGAGGAAGTGACTCATGAATGAGAACTGGAGGAGGAGGGAAGCCTATCAGACTTATTTCTTCTTCCAGAGCAGCCTCATGCCTGCTTTTATTTTACGCTGTGTCTGGCATGTAGATGGTGCTCAATAAGTATTTCACAATGAACAAAAACTCCTCTTAAACTCAGAGCAGGACCTTACCTTTTATGAACTTGGCCCACCTCAGGGACCGACCCTAAGCCAGTCCAGGTAGGCTAGAGCCTCCAATTCCCTGTTTTGGGAAATATCTCTAAAAACCCCCTTTGCCTTTAAGTATAGCCTACAAGATCTGGAAATGCTGCGAGTTCTTTCAAAAGAGGAGGTTATAGAATCCCCATGAGGAATTGTTTGCAAAGCTGGAAGCCATCCCTGTGACTGCCAGAAAGAACCTTACCTCTCTACAGTAAGTGCTGACATTCGTTAGGAAAAAACACAAATCCCTGGAATCACAAGAGCATATGAGAAGGGAAGGGATCACTCCCATTTTTTTTACTGCTTCTGTGTGCCAGGCACTGTTAGAAGCTCCTTACAAGTGAGAAACCATTTTAATTCTCCTGGAATCCAGATTTTTGGGGTCCATGGAGTTGGGATGTCCCACTGTCATGGATTGAGCTGTGTCCCTCAAAAATGCATGTCTCAGTTTGGCTAGGCGATGATTCCCAGTGTTGTGTGATTGTCCACCATTTCGTTATCTGATGTGATTTTCCTATATGTTGTAAATCCTATCTGTATGATGTTGAGATGGGCTTAGCGGCAGTTATGTTAATGAGGCAGGACTCAATCTACAAGATTGGATTGTGTCTTGAGCCAATCTTGAGATACAAAAGAGAGAAGTGAGCAGAGTTACGGGGAACCTCATACCACCAAAGAAGTAGTGCCAGGAGAAGAGCGCATCCTTTGGACCCGGGGACCCTGTGCTGAGAAGCTCCTAGTCCAGGGGAAGACTGATGACAGTGACCTTCCTCCAGAGCCGAGAGAGAAACCCTTCCCCTGGAGCTGGCGCCTTGAATTTGGATTTCTAGCCTACTAGACTGTGAGAGAATAAGCTTCTGTTTGTTAAAGCCATCCACTTGTAGCATTTCTGTTACAGCAGCACTAGATAGTTAACTAAGACAACTAACCAGGCCATTTGCTCTTAGGTGTCTTTTGAACCTTGAAGAAACTGGTTTCCTAAAGTCACCTTTAAGTCAAACAGTAACCTATTAAGCAGTTTAGTAGAGACCCTTTTGCCCTAGGCATCGGGCTCTTTTGGAGAATTATCTATGTGCAGTCAGTTGGGAGAAACAGGAACTCCAGGGTCTGACTGGAAGCTGTGTTTTAAGGTTAATTATTATTACGTAAACACTGTTTTGGCCCCGTTTCCATGACATTGTTGATGGGGTGGGGTATAAGAGTCTTTGGAGGATTTCTCATCTTCAAAATATTTTTGACTCCCTAGGTGAAATGAGGAAACCCTGGTGGCATAGTGGTTAAGTGCTACAGCTGCTAATCAAAAGGTTGGCAGTTCAAATCCAGCAGGCGCTCCTTGGAAACTCTATGGGGCAGTTCTGCTCTGTTGTATAGCGTCGCTATGAGTTGGAATCAACTCGATGGCAACGGGTTTCTTTTTTTTTTTTTTTTTTTTGGTTTAGGTGAAGTGATGACATGGCTCCCTATGTAAAAGGATGAATAAGGAAGACCAAAGAATTGACGCCTTTGAATTGTGGTGTTGGCAAGGAATATTGAATATACCATGGACTGCCAAAAGAAGGAACAAATCTGTCTTGGAAGAAGTCAACCAGAATGCTCCTTAGAAGCAAAGATGGCGAGACTAGGTCTCACATACTTTGGACACGTTATCAGGAGGAATCAGTCCGCAGAGACGGAAATTATGCTTGGTAAAGTGGAGGGTCAGTGAAAAAGAAGACCCTCAATGAGATGGACTGACACAGTGGCTGCAACAATGGGCTTGAGCCTAACAACTATTGTGAGGATGGCGCAGGATTGGTCAGTGTTTCGTTCTGTTGTACACAGGGTCGCTATGAGTCGGAACGACTTGACGGCACCTAACAACAACGAGAAGGTGAAATGTTACCCTGATTTGCAAATCATATGTTAAACCAACTTCAGTCAATTTCTATTATTGGTTTAATATGATTTTTATTTTAACACAGGCGTAAGCTCCATGAGGATATGACCTGGTATCTAGTTCACTGCCATGTCTCCTGCCGCTAGAACAGAGTCTCATCCATAGTGGATGCTCAATAAATATTTGTTGACTGATTAAATGAGTGAATGGATTACTTTGTTCAATCCTCATAACAACCTTATGGACAACCATAGTTTTCTTTTTCACACAGGGAGAAACTGAGTCTTAATGAGATTACCCAGCTAGAACATGGCAGAGCTAGAATTGGGACCGAGATTTGTATGTCTGCATTCCCAACCACTCTGCCTTGCTGGAGAGTCAGGGACCAGTATTTGGAGCAACTCTGATGGGTAACAGAGGTGGGACGTGGCAGGAAGAGCACACGGCTTAGAATCTGAAATCTTGAGTTTCAGTCTCTTCCTCCTCTCCAATAAGTTGTCTGACCTCTCTGTGCTTCAGCTTATTTATCTAGAAAATGGAAAATGTTCTGCTTGACCTGTGTTGTTATAATTCTCAAATAAGATAATATCTCATTTCATCTCTTCTAATTTGTTCTCATGTTAACATCTCTGAAACTGGAGTGTGTTTACCACTGAGGCTATGGGAAAGCACTATATCATTTTTTAATTGGTAGCAGTTTTTTCTTAGTGATACAAAAAATAATGATGCATCTTAACAGCTGATGGCATCTTGGATATTAGGAAATGCAATAAATGTGCAATTATGGCAAAAGCTATACAATTTTATAATTTACAATTATATGCTACATCATAGGTGCCCTGGTTGTGTAATGGTTAAGCACTCAGCTGCTAAGGTAGGTGGTTCAAACCCACCCAGCGGCTCCACAGGAGAAAGACCTGGCGATCTCCTCCCACTGAAAACCCTACGGGGGCAGTTTGTCACATGGGGTCACTAGGAGTCAGAATCAATGTGACGGTACCTAACAACATGCTAAATCATAGCTAATAAAGCATATTCTTATCCGTTATTTTACTTTTATTCCAGAAGCTCCATGTGGAACAGTCGAAACAGTACTCAAAGTGGGATATAAGTTTCCACCCTAGGTACTGACTAGCTTTGAGCCACAGGTTCCTTATCTATAAATTGGGAATGATAATACCTATTGCTGGTATTGGAGCCCTGGTGGTGCAGTGGTTAAGAAATAACCAAAAGGTTGAATCCACCAGCCACTCCTTGGGAACCCTATGGGGCAGCTCTACCCTGTTCTATAATGTCACTATGAGTTGGAATCAACTAGACGGCAACGGGTTTGGTTCTTTTGGTTTATTGTTGGCATTGGGGGGAGTGACTTGGTTTGACCCTCAATAGTGACCTCTGGAGGCCCCTGGGTGGCAAAAATGGTTTACCCTCATCTACTAACCTTAAGGTTGGTGGTTCGAAACCACCCAGTGGTGCAGCAGAAGAAAGGCCTGGCAATCTGTTTCCATAAAGACTATGGCCAAGAAAACCCTATGAAGCAGTTCTACTTTGTAACACATGGAGTCACTATGAGTCAGAATCAACTTGACAGCAGTGGGTTTTGGGGTTTTAGTGATCTCTGCTAGAAAATCCTCACAACTGGACCGATAAGTAACATCAAGATAAACAGAGAAAATATTGAAGTTGTCAAGGATTTCATTTTACTTGGAGCCACAATCAACACCCATGGAAGCAACAGTCAAGAAATCAAAGGATGTATCGCATTGGGCAAATCTACTGCAAAAGACCTCTTTAAAGTGTTAAAAAGCAAAGATGTCACCTTGAGGACCATGGTGCTCTTGACCCAAGCCATGATATTTTCAATCGCCTTATACGCACGTGAAAGCTGGACAATGAATAAGGAAGACTAAAGAAGAATTGATGCATTTGAATTATGGTGTTGGTGAAGAATACCGAATATACCATGGACTTCCAAAAGAATGAACAGATTTGTTTGGGAAGAAGTACAGTCAGAATGCTCCTTAGAAGCAAGGATGGCGAGACTTCATCTCACATACTTGGCCATGTTATCAGGAGGGACCAGTCCCTGGAGAAGGACATCATGCTTGGTCAAGTAGAGGGTCAACGCAAAAGAGGAAGACCCTCGACGAGATGGATTGACACAGTGGCTGCAACAATGGGCTCAAGCATAACAAGGATTGTGAGGATGGTGCAGGACTGGACAGTGTTCCGTTCTGTTGCGCATAGTGTTGCTATGAGTTGGAAACAACTCAAGGATACCTGTCTTAGTCATCTAGTGCTGCTGTAACAGAAATATCACAAGTGGATGGCTTTAACAAACAGAAGTTTATTCTCTCGCAGTCTAGTAGGCTAGAAGTCCAGATTCAGGGCACCAGCTCCAGGGGAAGGCTTTCTCTCTCTATCAGCTCTGGAGGAGGGTCTTAATCATCAGTCTTCCCCTGGGCTAGAAGCTTCTCCTAGTAGGAACCCCAGGTCCAAGGAACGCGCTCTGTTCCCAGCATTGCTTCCTTGGTGATATGAGGTCCCCCTGTCTCTCTGCTTGCTTCTCTCTTTTATATCTCAAAAGATATAAAAGACACAATCCAATCTTGTAGATTGAGTCCTGCTTCATTAACATAACTGCCGCCTATCCCACCTCATTAACATCATAGAGGTAGGATTTTACAACACATAGTAAAATCACATCAGATGACAAAATGGTGGATAATCACACAATACTGGGAATCATGGCCTAGCCAAATTGATACACATTTTTGGGGGACACAATTCAATCCATGACAGTACCTAACAACAACAAGCTAGAAGATGAGCAAGCCCAAGCATGTCTGGGTTGGTTGATTTGGGTTAGGTAGGCAGGAAGTATCCAAGCGTCTTTGCATAGATTGGTTTATATTGAGGGGAGGTGGAGAAGAGGAAGTTGTTTCCAGAATAGATGTGAGATGGAGTGGGAGTGATGGAAAACCCCAGTGCTCAAACCAAGATTTGCCTCCCCACCCTTGCCATGCGACCTTGAGCAGTTTACTTGACCCCAAGGCTCACTCACAGTCCTCAGCAGTAAAATTGGAATGGTAATAGCATCGCTTTCTAGGATTATCATGACAATGAATATAAAATCCTTAGAGTCTTACCTGCCACTTAATACTCAATACATATAGTTATTGCTGTTGCTGATGTTATTATTTGTTATTATTACTATTCCATAACTGGGTCCTGGGCACCCATGACTAGGACCTTCAGAAGGAATAGCTGTACCAGAACCTGAAGAGGGGTTGTAAGTGGGCTGCATTCAGAGGTCCCCAGCTGGCGGCCTGTGAGCCTCATTCACCCCAGGACCTTGCGTTTGTCAGAGCCTGTTTAAAAACATTTTCCAGTGCAGTCAGGCGGAGAACGCAGACCCCATTCTCCCTGTCACGTCCTGCGGGGCAGCTGCCTTACACTCTCAGGCACTGCCTGCTCTGCCAAGCTCTGCAGGTCTTGGAAGCACCAAGAAACAGCACCTTGGGTGGAAAAGAGCATCTCCCAGCTGCCCCAGAAGGGGCATGGTTTGAGGGTGGAGGATGCCAACTCCGGGGCCAGAGCCTAGAGTAGGAATAATAATGGTACCTACTCATACAAGGACTGTGTGCAAGCCCATGTGAGACTGATTCAGGGATGACGCCTGGATATAACTGTAGACACTCTGAGAAGGGACTGTGGGTCTGGTTAAAAAGGTAGGGTGGAAGGCAGTGAAATGTCACCATTAATATGACTCTGTGTGCCCAGATCCCATGAGATCACACGTTCCTTGCAGAGTTGTTGGAGGGTAAGAAATGATGGCTGTGAAGTGCTTGGCACAGGACCTGGCTGACAACGGGATGTCAGCAGTCTCCAATAGATGAAGGTCGTTACTCTTGATCTTGCTGCTTGTGTCCCCCCACTGTGCCAGGCCCTACCTGGGGTCAGGGAATGCTGTGGGCAGTCCCATGGGAGAGTCTTACCTGGAAAGACCACTCTGATGAGCTTGGTCAAGCGTTCCACAATTTCCAGCACAGCCGCCTCTCCCAGCTTCTCATTGGGCACGTGAGGCGTGTCATCCCTACAAAACACCAGCAGACCAGTTTGGTACAGGCAACTCGGGGAGGAGCAGGAGAAAAGGAAGAGAAGGCTCTGCAGTGAGAAGAAAGCCTGTGGGACAGGGCCTCAGATGTCCACTGAGGGGAAATGGCCAGGCTGGAGCTGGGAATCAGACAGGAGAGAGTTCAAATCCTGGCCCTGCCATTTACCTGCTACGGGTCCCTGGTTTGATTGTTTAACCTCTCTGAGCCTCTGTTCATCTGTAAAATAAGGATAGTAACTCCTCATAGAATTTTTTTGAGTACAATAAAACAATGATGGAGGAAATTATGTATAAAATACAGTAGCTGCTAAGTTGTAACTACTATTATTAATATTTAGAGATGGAAGCTCAGAAGTTCCAGTCCCATCTGCAAGTCCCCAGGAAGCACAGGGATGAGAAGCCACTCTGAATTCTGCCCCTTTCCCCAGGAGTTCTAAGGAGTTTGGAGCTGGCTTCAGAGTATGGGGTTCTAGTCTGTTCTAGGGCAGGTCCAGGACCTGCTCCAGGACCCTTTTGTCCCTTGTTTGACTGACGTAAGTTCCTGCATCCACCTTAGAAATGCTCAGCCAAGTTGGGGAGTGAAGGGAGGAGGATGGTAGAAAGTTTGGTTTGGGAAGGGAGAGGAGCCCCACCAATCTAGATCCTGAGGTCTCTGTGGGACTATACAGAGCAAGGCAGCCCTGCCCAAGTACTAGCCCAGGAAAGATAATAATACGGCTAATAGCAGCTCACCCTGACTGACTATGTACCAGGCACTTGCTATGTGCTATATTCATATCCGCTAATTTGTTCCTCATAATAACCCTACAACTTAAGTTCTGCTAATATCTCCATTTTACAGATAAGGAATCCAAGGCACAGAGAAGTAAGAATTCCTGAGTGTAGACAGCTAGAAAGTGATGGAGCCAGGATTTGAACCCTGTCAGCCTGCCTCCAGAGTCCATGTTCATACCCATTACATCTTATTGCATCTCTGCTACCTTCATGAGGACAGCAAGAGGAGCTATTTATCCTTAAAACTCCTTGGGGATAGGCCAGGAATCCAAAGACATTGGAAAAAATTTTTTTTTTTTTTTTTTTTTAGTGCAGAGGATCTGATTCTGTCTGATGGAAAACACGTCCAGTTTCTACAGGTTATCAGCCAAAGATTGCAGCTCCCTCAGAGAAGTCACATTTCTTAGAAATTGAAGAATTATAAAGGATCCTAAGAGGTCATCTGATCCAATACCATATACTTCTGCAGGGTCCCAGAGATTTCCAGAAAAGTCATGCATCTGTTAAAGGATCATAAATTTCCCAAAGCAGCCATGTTTCCCAGGGGGCTTGCATCTTTCAGAATGTTACACGTTTCTTTGAGCCCCCCCTCTCAGAGAATTCAGAGACACCCCCAGTATGACCCCTCACAGGAGCAAATAAGCAGCAATGTCCAGGGTCGTGGCCTAAATCTCACCCTCAGGTTGATTCCAGAGCCTAGGGAAGCCAGAGCTGTCCAGGCCCCTCCTGAGACACTGTCCATTCCTTAGGTGTCCAGCCTTGTTTCTCCATCTGTCGACCACAGGATCCCCCTGGGGGTCGTTCCTAGTCACGTGCATATCACACTCAGGAATAGCTGGGGGTACAGTGGGTTTGAGCCTGGCCTGTAGAAGCATTCGTTGAGGCCAACAGAGGGAACATAAAATCAGAGCTCTCTCCAGCCTTCCTCACCTGCTCCCCTGGTTCACTACCTCCTGCAGGAAGTCTTTGCCAACCCTGCCAGATTGGGTCAGGGCCCTGCAAGGCTCCCACACCCTCCCTCCCCACCCAGCAGCCCTCTCTCCTCCCTGGGACATAATGATTGGTGGGTTTGTTAGCGCAGCCCACAAGATTGTGAGCCCCTGGAAGGCATGCCTGCATCTTCATCATCTCAGTACTCTCAGTGTCTACCCCAAAGCTGGACATAAGACAAGTGAGGGAGGCAGGGAGCGAAAGGGTAAACCTTGAGTGATGAAGAAGGCAGGCTCTGAGGGAAGTTGAAGGATTTATAGCAGCATCCTTGGATGAAGGGCAGAAACTGCATCTCTGTGGCTAGGTATCTATGCCGCCCGTGTCCAGCAGTGCTCTAACCAAAGCAACTCCCCAGAGCATTGGGCAGCCCACGGTGGCCAGAAGCTGACCAGGACACTTGGTCCCACCTCTGGACCACTTTCAGCCCTCATAACTTCTTCTGTCCCTGCATTAGAACCTTAGGGCTGGGAGTCCCTACATGCCAGAAGGAGTGGCTCCAACGATGATCATCCCGCAGCTTAACTCTTTCATTACCATCGAGTTAACGGTATACCAGCCACTTGTTATGCTTGTGGACCTCTGAGGTAAGGTGTTATTCTGGTTCTCATGCATTTAGTGTCAAGGTGGGTCCCTTTTGAAATGTGTAGCTCTGCAGACTGGAGTTGGAGCTACGTCATTGTAAAGGTTAAGCATTCTATTAGGTGATGCTTTGTGGATGTGTTAGTTTTGTAAACTTTTGCCTTTTTTTCCTTTATTTCTGTGAGAAAAGGCTTGCAAGCATAAATTATGGCTTTCCTGTGTGTTAGTTAGGGAACCCTGATGGGCTTGTTTTGGTTTTTCTGTGTTATACTTGGAAAACCAGAGGTTCCCCATGTAACCTAATGGAAAGGCTCCCTCAATAAATTATTTATACAGCTCTCATTGATATGTTATACCACAGATCGGTGGTGCTATAGTGCCACTCACTTCATTGGTGGTTTGTATTACCAGATCATATTTCTCAAAATCCATATTACCAACCAAAAATCTAAACACACTCAGTTAGTAAGCATGCATTCCAATACTGAAAACACATGCCATCAAAAAAGAAAAAAATTAAGGAGAAAAAAATTAAAATACAGTTCACCAGATGCTCAGACGTCACAACCAAGTCCCCAGCCTCAGTGGGAGCTGTGTTCTGAGGCCAGGGGACATGGAGGTTGTAAGCACAGGCTAGAATCATCCAGACCCGGGCTTGGGCAAGTGACTTAACTCCTTTGACCTTCAGGTTCCTTATCTCGAACACAGGGCTGGTTGGGAAATTAAATGAGATAATGTGGGTAAAGGGCATGGCTGTCACATGGCATGTAGAAAGTGCCTGGCGAAGGGTAGCTGCTGACATGACCACTCTCACCCAGTCCAGAGAATGAAGTCTGGCTCTGGCAGGATCTGCTTCATGGCGTAGATGGAGGAGTTGATGAGGGCCCAGGGAGAGTCGCAGAGGTAGTTGCCCCAGGGGCCTGCGTTGGATACGGGCTGGGAGCCAGCTGATGGGCACACCCGGAGAGGGTCTTCAGATACCTTGTAGTCAGGATCAAGGTGCAGATCAGAGATGTGCCAGAACTTTCCTGCAGAGGAAAAGAGACCCTCCCTCAGTGCAGGTGCCTCCCTGAGCCTGGCTGGGGAGAAGTTCAGGGGAACCTGGGCAGTAGTGGTGGGGACTGTTCACAGATAGGAGGAAACCTCCACTGGGCACCCAGGGCAAGGAGAAGACAGGCCCATGTGTGTGGCTTTGCCCAGGAAGGAACTGAGCATAGTAGAAGGAGCACAAGCTCAGCTGTATCCCTGACCTGCTCTGTGACCTTTGGTGAAGCCCTTTCTGTCTCTGTACCACATCAGCAGCATGAGGGTGATATGATTCTTCAGGACCCTCTTGGGTCTAGCATTCTAAGCAGAGTGCTTATTTTAAAGCAAGAGAGTGGGAGTTAAACAAATTTGAAAACCTAGAGGAAATGAACAAATTTCTAGAAACACACTACCTACCTAAACTAACACAAACAGAGGTAGAAAATCTGAACAGACTCATAACAAGAGAAGAGATTGAAAAAGTAATTAAAAAAAAAAAGAATTCCCAGCAGAAAAAAGTCCTGGCCCACATGGCTTCACTGGAGAATTCTACCAAACATTCAGAGAAGAGCTTGCACCAGTGCTACTCAAACTATTTCAGAACATAGAAAATAAGGGATACTTCTGAATTCATTCCATGAAACCAGCATAACCCTGATACCAAAACCAGGCAAAGACACCACCAAAAAAAAAAAATTTGCAGACCAATATCTCTCATGAAAATATATGCAAAAATTCTCAACAGAATTCTAGCCAATAGAATTCAGCACCATATAAAAAATAATAATAAATAATACACCACAACCAAGTGGGATTCATACCAGGTATGCAAGGGTGGTTCAACATTAGAAAATCAATCAATGTAATCCACCACATAAAT